CGCTTACCTTAGAAGTTACGCAGTTGCTGTTTTGCCTTCCAGGCCAGAGGTTTTAATCCTCTTGATAAATTAAACGTATTGTAGTGTTCACAGTCTCTGTGCTACATACGCTTCCTGTTATTATAAGGCCAATCTTCCACGTTGTATTATTCTAAAGTTAAATTAGAGTTTAGTTTTATTTTTTATACTTTTACGTTAGACCCCGAGTGGAGGGTCATTGTATTCCGAAGTACGGAAGTCATTGTATATAGAGAAAAATAAAGGGTTTTGTATACCCTTCGTCTGTATCCTGTCTACTTACCACAATTAGTGAACATAGCTTTAGTAAGCTCTCTGTTCCGAGTCAGGTCCTTGTATGTTCCCGAAGAAGGTTAGAAGGAACATTGAACCTGATAGGGTTTTTGTTCTTTTAAAATAACTTTTTCTGAAGTTTAACACTAATTATTGTATATATTATTCTCCTATGCTATTTATTAAAACACCGGTATTGTTATTAATATTTTAATAATTACTATATGTGAGATTTCAAAATTAAAATTATGAAAAATATGTTTTCTGTACGTCTTCTGGTCGTTATGCATGGCGTAAGTTTAATTCGTTTGGTTCCAAACTATACTCAGCTATAGTAGCTACAAATTGTATGAACGCAAGTGCAGGCGATTAAAAAATTCTTTACTATAGTAATAAGGGTGCAAATGTGTTGTTCAGCCTACTGTTTTACGAGTAAAATTATCATGCGAGTAGTAATCAACGTTGAAAAACTGTAAGGAACAAGTGCGTCTCGTTACTATCAAAAGCGATGGCTAAGATCTGGGCAAAATGCTAATAAATTTATGCTGCCAAATTCTAAGACTTACGGCTAGAAATTTTCAGAAAATGTATTTATTAGCCTCAATTTGAAGAATTTATATGAAGCATTAAAAATGACGAAAATGCTAACAAAGAATAAAACATTTGTAAAGCAGGAATTCAAGAATATGAACAAAATGTTTTAGAAGGCATAGATTCATAGATATGAGAAGTAAATAGATATGATGTTTAGTGCCTATAGATATTAAGGGTAGAAGAGATTTCAGTGGTCTATTTTACGATGATACACTGCATTATTTTGTAGAGATTTGCAATGATATTGCCGATAAATATGACAAAAATATTAAATGATATTTCTCATATCTCTGCTTATCATAAATATAATAAAAGGATTATTGTGCAAAATCGGATGTTATATAGGTTAAAATTTGATAGCAAGGCATCAGCATCATTTTAATTACTTTTAGCACAGCAAAATATTTGAAAGATCGTGGATGTCTAAGGGAAACAGGTTAGGGTTCACAATATACAAGGGGAAACACTCAAACCCTAAATCAGTCTATTACTCGCTGGGAAAAACTACTAGAGATCACTGCTTTTAATTTACTGGAACCGATATAAACAAGATGAAGAAGCATGATGCCCTGAAAGTGATGACTGAATTTTCAGTATATTTAATTTAAAGGTACTCATAAATAACTGTAGTAACAGATTACATTCTTTCGATGTAATACATTTAAAATAAATAATACATATCATCTGTAAATAACACCTATCAATCAACTTTGAGTCTCATTTTCATTTAGAAGATTATTTCTTGATTGTTGTTGTACTTGTTTATGAAAATAACTGTAGATCTTCGAAGTGTATTTTTATATTATATTTAGGGTATTTTGTTCACTTGTACCTTCGTATTTCAATGAAAAAGTAAATAATTTCCTATTTTTTATTTTGCACAAAATATTCTGCTTTTGTTTAAATGCATTTCAAAAAAAGGAATTAATTATGATAATAGTTGAAGATAAAATAAATATAGATAAATGGATCAATCAGCATTCCAATTTTCTACGAAGCGAATCTATGAATGCCTGCAATTCAAATATACCTTCCGCAGAAAGCATATCTTCTTATTTTTTTTTTTTTTTTTTAATCTCTTCGATCTTCTCCAGTGCTTAAACAACTTTTCAGCATTATAAAACAGAAGTCAGTTGTTTGGTTTAAGAGTAAACAACTAAACAAAACTATTAAAATATTGTTATATTTCCATAATATAGGACAAAACCGTAAAATAAAAAATTAGCATATTTATATGTAGGACAAAAAAAAAAAAAAAAAAAAAAAGCATTAGGTAGATAGAATTAAATAATCAGGTTTTCACCAATAACTGCGCACGAGAAAGCTTAAAATACGAGAAAATCTGCCGTGGTGCATCAGTTACTGGCACACAGGTCTAAATAAAAACAAGACGTCTGTACTAAATGGGAATATCTCGAATGATATAGTTGTTAATTTCTTCATGCAGCAGTTTCCATTACTGTAGGTTGTAGGCTTTCCCTTATTTTGCATAATACATTTATTTTAAGTTTGATACCTTTCTTGAACTCCTCAACTTTCCCTCGCATTTTCTCGTCAGGATATAAATTTTAAAGTTAAGTGAAGTGAGTATTTAAACAGGTGAATCTCTGAGTTTATTCAGAGCATGTTTTCGCTAGCCAGAGCTCGTTTCGTTGCTATCTCGTTGTTACGCTAGTAAGCCTCTTTGCCATTTCGGATTATTGTCACGCCTGTTAGGTTTTTGTTAAGTCAACCTGTTAGACGATAACTTAACATGCTAATCCAGCACTATTCTGTTTTAGATTTATATTGATTTATATTCTACGTTTAAGTTTCACGGCTAGTTGACGGTGTTTTTGTAAAGCACGAAGACCGTGCCTTTCTCATTTGAATTAAAAAAAAAAAAAAGGTTATTTTCACCCTTTTTCTGTGCTGGTAATTAATTTACGCCTATGCGAGAATTCGCCAGGTTTATTGCAGGATCTAGTTAGTTAATGTGGAATACAAAAGACAGATCTTACAAGGTCCCATTTTCAGTTGTTGCAGAGTTGCTGGTGAATGCAGAAGTACCGCAAGGCCTCTGCCCAGCGGATTATCGGCGTGTTCAATGATATTTAATTTTGGAGTGTGAGTAAACTTTACAAATGCCATCACTTTCTAGCAGCATATAAGCAGTCGAAATGCCGTTATTTTCCTTCAACATAAGCCAGGCCTTGGCGCCTATAGCAACAGACGCATATGGAGCAAGATTATCTCACAGTAATAGCATTCATCATTTATATGAACTGTTTGCTAATATTTGCAGCTCTATATGTCTATTCTGCATAAGGTGAACACAAACGACAACAAGTCTCCTGGTAAATCGATTAATTTTATTAATGTTCGTGAGGTGATGTCGTGTACTAACTTATTAGATTCCAAAATCGTTGCTATTCAGAATAACTGTGAAGCTGAATTTATTCTTCTCAGTAAACAATATATTAGACCCTCTAGCGCTTTGTCCGGTTTTTGTGTTCTTTTCACGAACGTAAGCTGTGATACTAAAGGAAAATTTTTAAATGGACGCAGAGTATTATTCGCCAGCTCACCGCCCAGTGTTTCTCTGAAGTTAATTTGAAATGGATTCCTCTGTTTGATACCGATCTTTCTTCGCTTATAAGATTATAAAGCGATCATCGTTGAGTGTTGTTCTTCACGGGCGACCAAACCCCAATCTTTCGAACTCAAACATATAGTTCTAAAAGCCGTCCACCCGCACAAATACATCCTTTGTCTGAAAAGTTCCAGGAGAGTTTTTTTTTTAAATTTCTGAGTTTGCAGTACTAGAATGTAACAAATGTTGTTTTTATGTTACCTGGTATATATTCTTACTTGAAGTGACCTTGGCCATGTTTCCACGCAAACTTACTAGGTGGTAGAGTTGTGCTTAGCAACACACTGTTCAAATTGTTGTCGCATTCGTTAAGGTCGCACAATGGATGTGAGCAGGAATGAACATTAAGTTCTGCGTCGGGAAAACCCCTAGTGAAACGCGGAACATGATTAAACAAGAATAAGCAGGCGAAGGACTATTTTCGAGTGGTACGAAAGGTTTCGTGAAGGTACAGCGATTCAGTGCAAAACAATCCCAGAGCTGGTCGTACGTCTATAGCACATGCCGATGCAAACGTGGAACGTGTAAGGCAGTTATTGCAAGAAGTACGTCATGTAACTGTGGGTATAATATTAGAAGAATTGAATTTGAATCGTGATGTCTGTCATAAGATTTTACGCTAAGATTTATGGAAACGGGTTCTGAATGCAAGAATCGTAACTCATTCACTAACAGATGAACGGAAAGAGGAAAAACGAAGAATTTCTGCTAATCTATTGAAAACTAGAATAATCTTTGACACGTCCCACATTTGTATCAAAGATTATTGCGATTTTTCTTGTTTCTGTGAGTGAAAAGGTAACTGAAAGGAAATCTTCATCAAGATTATTGTAGACATCCAACGGGCTGTGATGAATGAGCTTGAAGGATTTCTCTCAGTTGATTTCATCGCAGTTGAAGGATTTCTCTGCTTGCTTCCAAGACCTCCAGAACGTTGGCAGCTGTGTATAGATAGCCGAGGGGACTACTTTGATAGCAGCTAGGATCATTACTTAGTAAATGCAATTTTTTATTTTTACGACCTTTGTCCTGGAACGTTTCTGATAAAGGATATATGATACTAGGGGCAACATTGTGAACGCGTCGGCCACATTCTTCACTCTATTCTTTTCCTCCAGCTTGAAATCCTTCATAGAAGCTATTTTGTTGTCGTCTTCAATATGAAATAAACCACGCTGAATATCTGAAAAAAATTTTGATTAGTGTTTGCAAATCTGGAAAAAAATTCTTGCACTTCTGAATCTATTACATATTTAGTTTGGTCAGGCTGGTGTACTATTAAGTTGGATTACACATTTATATATTAGTTCTTGCTGATCTGTATTTAAATTACTATTAAAGTTATGTTTATTCTAGCTTTATATCTGAATGTAGGAAAAAGTGTTTCATATTATTTTGCAAAAGTATTGCATGTCTTTTTTGATACTTTTATCGTTCGTAACAGTTAAAATAATTTTATTTGATAATAACTGTTTTATTTTAGTTACAATAGGTTAAACTGGCTTCCAGAAGATTTGTTCAACTCAATGTTTTCTCTTCGTGAACTCAAATTAGACAATAATCACTTTAAAGATGTCTCTGTATCCCTTTTCATTCCTGTATGGAACACGTTAAATAACTTATGGTTAGACGGTAAGGATGATTATTTTCTTTTGCATTGTATCACTTTTTTTAAATCTTTCCTTATAACTAGTTTAGCAGCTTTATTTATTATTTTAGAAAATGATATACTTATAAGATATTTTATGCTAATTAACACATTTTTATGATTAGGATCTGTACTTCTTTTTGTTATCCCTCACCAGGACGCAAATGAGTAAGGACTATTTAAAACGAGATTTTTTTAATGTTTTAGAGATAGAACTTTTGGAAGCGACACTTGCAACTTTGTCTTCCTCAACACTGAAAGTCAGTCTTCCTATATTACATATTTCACTAGCCGAAGTTAATCAGGTCAGTTATAAGCTTTGAGTCAACACTTAGGAAAATTTTATGTAGTTTCGGTTTACGAATACTATGTTACTTAACATATGCAAGTGACGAAATTTCATGGTACGAACAAGTTGTGTCTTTTGTTAAATTCAAGTTTAAATGGTGTATTTAAAGTCTTCATAGAACTTCGTCGTATTTTTACAGACGGAGTAATAACTCGCTCAGTGGTCTAGTAGGTTCTAAATAACTTTTAATTTAGTATTACACGAGTTAGAACACCTTATAAACAGGAATTCTCCATTTCGTATTTGAAAATGTTGTTCGAAATTTTGAATCTGAGGGTTCATTTCATTAGAAGAATTTCAAGATATTTCATCATCATGAAAATGCTATTTATGCTGCAGATTCTTGTAATTAAACTCATATCTGCACAAAATAGTGTTTCTATTTTTTACATGGTTAAATAAGCTACTACTTTTGTCGGGTCTTAATATCCCAATGCCTTTTTTACTGCCGTTATTCACACTCATGCTTAGCTCTGGAAAGGGCTTCAAAAATGTTAGTAGCAATTGATTAATTTTAAATCCAACCATGTTTTTACACTATTTTGAATAAAAGCAATACATTTTCACAACTTATAAGAACAGGCAGGAACTAAACGTAACGTGCACGCGCAGGCCAGAAACATGTTCTGTCTTGAAACCCAGAAACTTCAGATTAAATACTAACTAACCTCATTTATATTCTGGTAAGGAAACGGAAAGGAGAAATTATACTAAAGAATGAAATTATAAATAACTGGTTAACTTCAATAATAACCTTATAACTTGAAATCATTTTTGCAATATGTCTGATATTTTTCTTTAAATTTAAGGGTAGTATGACTATGTACAATACTATGTATTATTTTTTCTTTCTTCAGGTATCAACGCAATATGCAGTCCTTTATGTTGGGAAGGAAATTTAGATGAGCCTTGGTCTCGTTACTTCAAATGCAAATTCCAGGACAAACCTATACCTTTCGGCTTTTATCTTGAAAGTTGTCCATATACTCTAAGTTCAGAATGATCAAAGAATAATATGGTCATAAATATTAAGAGAAAAGGAGGGTAGAAGTCATTTGAATCATTAATAGAGGAACCTGGAGGATTAATATTTGTCCTAACGTCTCCATCTCACCTGATGCTAATAAAATGAGAGTACGACATTTCTTTGCAGGAGTACACGTAACGTAGGTCAGGATGTAGATCACCGTAGTCATCGTTGCATATCAATCAATCATGGAACACAATTGATTGAATGAGAAATCAAGTTTATGTTATAGTAATGATTATTTTTAAAGAAACTGAAATAATTTAAAATAAATAAAGCCATTCACTGATATTAAAGAATATTACGTAGAGAAAATTAGTGCATTGCTGTAGGAAAATACGTCATCTAAAGAATGATCACTTTAATGATCTAAATATTCTTAAAGCATCGTCTGTTTAAAATCATTTTTAAGAATTAGTTAAGGTTCGATTTTTTTATTCATTTAGTAAGTCTTTAACCAATTTAAATTTACTTTTAAATAAAAGCTATTTACTTTTTCGAAAAAACCCCACACAGGCCTTTCTTCATCAAGAAGTGAAACAATTACGCCCTGTGATGAAGAGGCATCTGGGACGAATTTTTTTCAAAAAAGCAGAAAGCTTTTCTCTAAAATAAACGCCAAGTTAATGTTAAATATTGTATAATTTAATCTCCTACATCGCCTGTTTTTAAGTTCGTGCTTGTTGTGTTCATCTCTTCTGTCAGTAGCAAAACAAGAGAACAATGCTTTATTATACTATTTATGGATGGAGAAATTTATCTTATCTGCGTGGAAAATGTACAAAAGAGTTTCCTTTACAAATTTATCCACACAGGAATCGTGTGCTAAACAACTACAGTCAGGAAGCTCTGGCATAAATGCTTAGTAGAATTTACTTCTCTAAAACAAAGATATTTTTGGAAACATTAAAATATTTTACCAAAAGGAAAGTAATGTAAATACTGGATTAAATTTTTCTTTTTGTAAAATTAATTACTTTTATATGACCACCATGTTTATTATGTTATTTCTTACGGTTCTTTGTCAAAAAGCAAAAGCTAAATGTAATCTATCACGCGATAGAAATATCCAAATCTTTATGAACATTTGAACTGAAAGAAGAACATGCCAATGTAACATTTAAAAATAAGGGAAAAAAGATTCTGTGTTTACTTTTAAATTTGTATAAATTGTTTTATAAATAGCAAAAAAATATTATTTAAATTTTAAGTAACATAAAATACTCAATTTATTCGATGAAATAATATTTTTATGAAAATATTAGTTTAAGTTTAGCAAACCTACTAATTTAAGAAGCATGCCCTTTTAGTATAGATGATCTGAAATCAGGCTGGGCCACTGGAAAATTATGGACACAGTGAGCTTACTAGCCGGAATTCATAAGAAATAGAGATCTAAAGAAAGCATTTTTATCATCGCTTAATCTTCCTTAGATACATTACTTCGTATGCTATTCTGTATAACTCGAAATGTTCATTACATTTCTCGGCTTATTCGAAAAAATTAGCTCTTGGAATTTTTTCCATTCAATTGCTCTTTTTTAAGATTCTGAAATTCCCGCAATACGCAACCTTTAAATATAGATTTTAACTTTATGTAACAGAAACCAGTCCGCAATTGCCTAATCTGACGAGTAAATAATTATAACGAGTAAATTATTAAAAATAATTATGGCTTTCTTTTTCAATCAGTTGTTTGATGACAGTTGCATTGATCAAAGAAGCATTTCTTATCCCGATGATCATAATGACCTTGAGATTCAATCCCAGAGTGACTGGAATTCTCTACAACTAGCGCAAAAGCGCTTCCTTGCGCTAGGTTCAAGAATTCTCACCCTTCCAAATTTGCGAATGTTGAGTGTCTCTCGAGATCGCTATACACTCCCTTCCCAAACACTTCTGATCTGATATGGAGAAATACGATTGGTCGTTTTGGTTAAGCCCGCTTTGTGGTCGTGGTTGTGAGCTTGGCGTATTGATGAGCTGTAGTTGCGGCTGCAGAGTATGGCCATGCTCAGTTGGATCCGTATGCATGGCGGAGCACGGTTGAGAGAACCTCGTTTGCTTGGTCACCGCTTTTTCGGACGGCTCAGACTGTACTTTTACTATCGATAGACAGACTTTTGTCATCGATAATGAAACGGCCGTTGTTTATCGATTACGAAGGTATTAATGTTTCTGTTTTGTTTATGAACTTTGTCAGAAGGAAAATGAATATCGCGAAACTTTGGAATTTAAAGCAATACTTTGCAGACACGAAGTAGAAACTGTTAAAAAATTTGCTTGCTGTTGTGGAAAATCATTCGATGATAAGAGTATGTTAGTTATGAAGATAAATGTAAAGATAATGCATGTATGTGAAGTAAATAAAATCCTCTAGAATGTAAACGCTTTGTTTGGTTATCTTATCAGGTTCAATGTTTCTTCTAATCTTCTTCGGGAACATACAAGGACCTGACTACGAACAAAGAGCTTACTAAAGCTATGTTCACTAATTGTAGTAAGTAGACAGGATACAGACGAAGGGTATGCAAACCCCTTTATTTTTCTTTATATACAATGACTTCCGTACTTCGGAATACAATGACCCTCCACAAAGGGGTCTAACGCAAAAGATATCAAAATAAAACTAAACTCTAATTAACCTTAGAATAACACACGTGGAAGATTGGCCTTATAATAACAGGAAGCGTATGTAGCACAGAGACTGTGAACACTACAATACGTTTAATTTATCAAGAGGATTAAAACCTCTGGCCTGGAAGGCAAATAGCAACTGCGTAACTTCTAAGGTAAGCGGCCTGCTTCGAACTCACTGCTTCCTCTCTCTTCTGCTTGGCAAAAAGGCCACACTTAAATACTTGGTGTTCGCCAGACAAACTTTGCATAAAATCCTTCACGCTTATAATTCTGGCCGGAAGTAGAAAATAGAAAATAAGAAGTGATAGTAAAGATTTAAAATAAAATAAACGTTAGTAGTAAAACTTAAGATCCTTACATACTTCCCGCCAGACTTAATTAGTTTGAAACTGAGGTCTAAAACGACCTTGTTGAAAACTTTTAGCTCTAGAATATAAACGCCAGGCCAACCTTTTACAATCATAACTTCGTTAGAAACTAGAAAATTTAAAAGAAAGAAATTTGTTACAATAGCAGCTCCCAGGATCTACAACAATCTTTTTTTTTTTTCTGTACTGCATCTAAACAGGAGCTTTATTCAATTCTGGTTCCTTCCAGAGATCTGGAAGGAAAACTAGTTTAATGAAATGTTACACAATGACATTGCAAATAACATATAGAATATACTTCTCTTAACATTCTTATTTCATTCATCACTATTTTAATTATCTCTCCCCGTGCTCTCTGACATGTGTTGTAAAAGAACACCAAACACGAATGTGTTTCTGTCTACGTGTGCCACACTTCCTCCTACAATCAAAACACTAACGTGTTAAAATTCAACATAACGAGACCTCTTAACACACCCTACTTTCAACTCTAAACCCTGAGGTACTATTCTAAAAGTGGCTAACTCTAAAGTGTAGCGTCAGAGAGCCTAACTACATCATTCAACCTTTACCACATATTCGCCATGATTTAATCTTTACAGTCACACGAATAACAAATTTTTAACATTACTTTCACTTTTACCATATCACGGTATTTCTTAACATTTAAAATAACAGTTCACATGTATATAAGAACATATCAACATGCCGTTAATACAGATTTGAAAACATACATTAGTAGTACATTGTTAACTTCTATTCTTTTCAAAGCAAGTGCCAATTCTTTCTACATTGAAATAATACTACATTTCAAAAAGTCTTACAGACTAAAACTTCTTTCTTGCTAGAATGTTTTAAATAAAATTTATACAATAACTTTTTGCAAGATTTAAGTCTTTACACAACGCTATTATACATCAACTTTAGTTTTACGCGCGAGTAATTGAAAAACATAATAAGAAAATCGGTCACAACTCATTTCTTGCCCTTTTGGCGATAAAGGTAGACCTCGCATGAGGTAAAACTTCTTGAAATCTGCCACTTGCAGTAAGAATGAAAGATTAACTTAAGTTTGCAAAGTACATAAATTTTTACTTATCTTTGTAATATTCGGACATCCTTTTCTGGGCCCAGTCTTTAAAGGTACTGCAGACCGTAGCCTGGTTTATCCTCCTTCTTGTACGGGCTCGCCCTTCAGTGCTTTCCTCTGGAAGCTTCCGTTTTTCACCAGTACGGCCACCCTTGAACACCTTCCTTTTCTCCTCTGCTTGTGGTCTTGGCCGTTTGAAGGCAGCTGGTCTTGGCGGAACCGGGAAACTTCTGTCGTGATCCTGCTTGGACCTCGTTGTTGGCCGTTCAAATTTTTCTTGTACTTTTTCCTCCGCCGCTGATGGCCCTTCCGCAGTTCGGCGACTTTTGCTGCGGAGAGTTCTGTCGGATGAGTCGATCTTCCGTTTTAAAGCCGGGTTATAGTTGCCATCATTTCTCCTGGTCCTCTTCACATACGTCGTCCTTCTCCCTTCTTCATTCTGGGGGTGTTCGTGAACTCTGTTTTCTGGACGGTGGAACGGCTTCTTTTTCTTTTTACCTTCAATTTTTCCGCGGGGCAATTTTCTTTTCACTTGCTTCTGTCTCTCATTGGCTTGCTTGCCCTTGTACTTGTCGTTTTCCCACCTCTGGAACTTGTACCTGCGGTGTCTGCCGTGCCGGATCCTGCAAAAGATCTGAAAAGATTTGCATTTTATTACGATCGAAGTAGGGCTTGATTTGATCAATGTTTGCGGAACAGGTTTCACCATTTCTGGCTTTTAACACTACAACAGCGTGAGTTATTTTTTCTATAACATATGGTCCTTCAAATCGTGGAAAAAATTTGGCAGTTTTATCTTCTGGTGCTGAAGAAAGTGAATGCTTAATTTTTAAAACTTCATCCCCTACTTTATAAGTTACTCCCCGTCGTTTCAAGTCATAATATAATTTCTGTTTTCTTTGTGCTACTTCAGTGTTCTTTGCTTCTTCAATTAATTTTTCTATATCACCCATTTTAAATTCTGGGGCTCTTTGTTGCACATAAAATAGTTTATCTAACGGTGTTTATAATCTTTCTGCCTAGAAATAACTCAGCAGGAGTTTTGCCCGTTGTATCATGTTTTGCGGTCCTAAGGGCGAAAGCAAATTCATTGACATAGTTATCCCAGCTTTTATGAAAATTTTTAACATAACTACGGATAATTTTCACTATATTTCTGTTGACCCGTTCCGCTATATTTGATTGCGGCCGATACGGGACCATTTTTAAATGACGTATGCCCAGTTTTTGGCACATGTCTTCAAATATATTACTTACAAATTGAGGACCATTATCCGATATAACTTTTAGGGGCGCCCCGTATTTTAAAATATATTATTTAAAATAGAATCAGTAACTAATTTCGCGGAGGCTCGTTTTAAGGGAACAATTTCGGTCCATTTACTAAAATGATCAACCATAACAAGGAGATAGCGACTTTTATTTAACTGACTTTTTGGGAAAGGGCCCAATAAATCGATGCCAATTATTTCATTTGGAAATTCGGATTTAATACTATTTAGAAATCCCGGCCGGGCGGAAATTAATATAATTAACCTACTACTTGGCTACTACTTTTAACATGTACTGGGCAGGACTGGGTAAGACCGGCCATACGCCCTTGTTAACTTTTGCAGTTCAGGAAAGTAGACTGCCTTCGCGTACGCGTTGGATAGGTTTTCTCGAATACCAGCATGATGAAGCTAAAGGGCTGTCATGGAGCTCTTGCAGGATATTTAATCTAAGACTAGCTGGGATAACAGGTCGAAATTCGTTGTTGGGAATTCGTAGTTTTTGTATAAAATAATAGACCATCTTTAGTTCGTAAATGGGGGCCGCCACCCCCCCCCCCCCCCCCCCCCCCCCCCCCCCCCCCCCCCCCCCCCCCCCCCCCCCCCTCGCCCCCGCCACAATATCTTGGTGGCTAAAATTTTCAGGATCCTTCAAATACTCATAAATACTTCCAAACTCAGGATCCTTACCCAGTTCTGTTATTACAGTTTCTCGGGAATTTATTGTACACGCTGTAAGCATTGCAACTTTTACAGTATTACCCTGTTCGTCTAATTTAATTCGTGATAGGGCATCTGCTACGATATTTTCCCTTCCGGGGGTATGCTTGATTACCAGATTATATTCTTGCAGCTTGAGTGTCCATCTTATTAACCTTGGGGATAAATTTTTCCCTGAGTACAATCTAGTTACCGCCGCATGATCAGAATATACTGTTATCGGCGCCTTTCCAAAATAGACTCGGAACTTTTGCACTGCTAACAGAACTGCAAGTGCCTCTCTCTCGGTCGCGGAATAGTTTCTTGTGTTTGATTTAAAGTTCGGCTAAAAAATGCCACGGGCTGCTGATTTTGCGAAAGTACCGCTCCTACCGCATAATCCGAAGCATCCGCTGAAATTTCTAAATTCTCATCCTTTTCAGGAAATTTCAACACAGGGGCTTGCGTTAATGCTTGTTTTAATTTTTCGAAAGCACTATTGGCTTCAGCCGTCCACGAGAATCTTGCCTTTTTCCTTTTTAATTTTAACAATGGCTCAGCGATAGCCGCAAAATCTTTTATAAAGGACCTATAATATGAACAAAGTCCTAGAAAAGAAGAGAGCTTCTTTGCCGTGTTTGGAGTCGGATACTTTTGTACAGCGATTATTTTTGATTCATCTGTCTCGATCCCTTTTTGCGATATTTTGTAACCTAAATATTTTAATTCAGGGGCTGCAAATTTGCACTTTTCGACATTAACTTTTAGACCGGCCTCATTTAATAAAGAAAACACCTGTCTTAAATCCTGTATATGTTGGTCGAGATTATCACTAGTAATAATGATATCGTCTAAATAGATAAATGTGGACTTTCCAAGAACAGGTCTTAACACAATGTCCATGCATCGCTGAAATGTTGCTGGGGCGCCTGAAAGGCCAAACGGCATACGCAAATATGCATAAGTGCCAGACTTGGTTATAAAAGCAGTCTTAGGCACGTCCTCAGGTCTAAGCCCTATTTGAAAATAACCATTCGTTAAGTCTAAAGTCGTCATAAATTTGGTTGATTTTGTGTTCCTTAAAATTTCTTCTATGATCGGTAACGGATATACCGGATATTTCGTTATGGAATTTAATTTACGGTAATCAATAGCGAATCTCCACCTTTTGGATGCTCCTCAAAGGATAAGGATAATCATTATTTTTCTTACATAAAACCACCGGGCTAGCATAACTACTTGAGATGGGCGTTATGATCTTTTTACGTAGCATATCGGTAATATGCCATTCTATAACTTTTTCCTTATTCTTATCATACC